CTGCCAGCTCTGTCAGCCACCAGCGGGCCACAACACCACCCAGGACTTAGTAGGTGATTATTGTCCAGTTCCTATCCATTTAGAGAGGGCTGTAAAGCACTGTGAAGTGGTGTATAAGTCTAAGTGCTATTGCTATTCTAAGGAGCCTTTATCTGATGGTCTCTTTGGAGATGAATCTTCCTGAGGGATTGCCCCAAACAGCATCTCTAAGAAGGGAACATCCCCTTTTCCTCAGAGCCGTTCAGCAGCCATTTAACTCAGAGGCTTCCAGACTCAAAACAGCACCAGAGAAAACAGCACAAGTGTTCTTGCGAATTCTGCAGTATAGAAATGAAATAAATGATTACTATTCTCATTAATACAGGGAGGCGGTGGCTCAGTGGCTAAGATGCTGAGCTTGTTGATCAGAAAGGTTGGCAGTTCGGCTGTTCGAATCCCTAGCACGGCGTAACGGAGTGAGCTCCCATTACTTGTTCCAGATTCTGCCAACCTAGCAGTTTGAAAACATGTAAAAAATGCAAGTAGAAAAATAGGGACCACTTTGGTGGGAAGGTAACAGTGTTCCATGTGCCTTCGGCGTTTAGTCATGCCGGCCACATGACCACAGAGATGTCTTCGGACAGCGCTGGCTCTTCGGCTTTGTAACAGAGATGAGCACTGCCCCCTAGAACCGGAAACGACTAGCACTTATGTGCAAGGGGAACCTTTACCTTTATTTTAATTAAAGCTTCTGTTTCCATACTTCAGCCTGCCTTTCATTGAGGATCTGTATATGGCACGAGCCAGAAAGAGGGTTGTGAAAATATCTACAGACTCCTCAAACCCTGGACATAAATTGTTTCAACTCCTTCCCTCAAGAGGACACTATAGGGCATTGCATACCAAAATAACTACACACAGTTTTCCCCCCATACTTTTCCTCTGCTAAACAACTAATTCCCACAACACCATCTATGCCCTAAGGCTAGGCTGTCAAACCACATAGTAGGGCTGTATTACTATCATCCTTCTCATCTTTCCTATTACCTATTCCTTTAGCATCTTATGACTATAACTTTGTGGTTTGTATGACTTATGTTGACTGCTTTTATTTAGTATCCTGTTATGATTTATGTTGATTGCTTTTATTTAGTATCCTATGACTATCACCGAGCGTTGTATCTTATGATTTATGATTGAATTTTATGATTATGATCATGATTTTTCACTTGTTGCTTGTATGTGCACTGAGAGCTTATGCACCTGAAACAAATTCTTCGCGTGTCCAATCATACTTGGCCAATAAAGAATTATGTTCTATTCCATTCCCTATTCTATTCTAATTCCTAATTCTAATCTAATATTAATCCTTATTCTATTCTATTCTTATTCTATTCCATTCCATTCCATTCTAATTTATAAATTCGTTCCATTCCCTATTCCAGTCCATTCTTTGTTCTGTTCTGTTCTATTCCAATTCCTAATTCTAATCTAATGTTAATCATAATTCTATTCTATTCCTAATTCCTATTCTATTCTATTCCATTCCATCCTAATCTCTATATTCCATTCCATTCCCAAATCCAGTCAATTCCTATTCTATTCTATTTCAACTCCAATTCCTAATTCTAATCTAATCTAATTGTCAGATCTCTGACAGGCACCCCCATTCAAATGATAAGTCTCTAGCCGCATCTCTCAGAGTAAAAAAGATTGATTTATTAGGAGCTGACATGTCGGCGTTTCCGGTTGCAGCTGACTCTGACAAATCATTTTCACCCTTGACCCTGGTCTTCCCACCACTCCTGGATGTATATTCTCCAATAAGACACATCCATAGCCAAGAATCATCAATCATGCTCTCCAGTAATAATTTTGAGTGCCAGAGGCTTCGGTTGCCAAAGCAATTATCTCAAGCATTTAAGGAATGCACTGCTTTCCTCCCTCGCTTTTTGCTGACAACTAAAAAGACCAAAGTATTTTTTAGTTTACACTAATATTAATCATAACTCTATTCTATTCCTAATTCCTAATTCGTATTCTATTCTATTCTATCCCATCCTAATCTCTAAATTCCATTCCATTCCCTATTCCAGTCCATTCCTATTCTATTCTATTCTATTCTATTCTATTCTATTCTATTCTATTCTATTCTATTGTATTCTAATCCTAATCATTATAAACTCTAATTTGGAAACTTAGAAAAGCAGGCTATTGGTCACCTATTCCTATTCTATTCCAACTCCTAATTCTAACCTAATATTAATCCTATTTCTATTCTATTCCTAATTCCTATTCCACTCCATTCCATTCTAATCTGTATAGTCCATTCCATTCCCTATTCCAATCAATTCCTATTCTGTTCTATTTTATTCCAATTGCAATTTCTTATTCTAATCTAATCTAATATTAATAATAATTCTATTCTATTTCTAATTCGTATTCTATTCTATTCCATTCCACCCTAATCTCTATATTCCATTCCATTCCCTATTCCAGTCAATTCCTATTCTATTCTACTCCAATTCCTAATTCTAATCTAAATATTAATAATTCTATTTTATTCCTAATTCATATTCATTCCATCCTAATCTCTATATTCCATTCCATTCCATTCCATTCCAATTCCTAATTCTAATCTAATCTAATATTAATCATAATTCTATTCCATTCCAAATTCACATTCCGTACCATTCCATTCCATCCTAATCTCTATATTCCATTCCATTTCATTCGATTCCAATTCCTAATTCTAATCTAATATGAATCATAATTCTATTCCATTCCTAATTCACATTCCATACCAATCCATTCCATCCTAATCTCTATATTCCATTCCATTCCCTATTCCAGTCCGTTCCTATTCTATTTTATCCTAATCCTAATCATTATAAACTCTAATTTGGAACCTTAGAAAAGCACCTTACTGGTCACCTATTCCAACTCCTAATTCTAATCTAATATTAATCCTAATTCCTATTCTATTCCTAATTCCTATTCTACTCCATTCCATCCTAATCTGTATATTCCATTCCTAAACTAAGAAGGGGGGGAAACACGTCAAACCGTCTCTCTCTCTCTCTCTCACACACACACAAACACAAACCCACCTTGTTTTTCCACCCCCTTTCCAAAGACGCTCCTTCAGAATATGTCCCCGCCGCTTTGGAAGCGTTTTCTCATCCAAGGCAAAGCTTAAAGACCGGAGGGAGCTGTCCGGGGCTCCAGCCAAGAGCCTCCCCGTAGGAGGGACTCGGCAGCCCAGCTTTTCCTTGCTGCCCCGCCCGGGATGCCCAGCTAGGAAGCTGCAGGCGGAGACTCCCAGGCAGGCAGGGAATTTGCTTGCACAGGCACCCGCAGGGGAAGAGGCGGCTCTGCCCTTCGCCCGAGCTCCGATCCCCAAGCGAGGCGCGCAGGGGAAGGATCCGCGCAGCTCCTTCCCACCCAGCCCAACCCAGCTGCGCAGCTGCAGCCGCGCGCATGCGCCTTCCTCCCCGGCAAAGGCTTTTTCCGCCAGCCGGGGTGGAGGGATTTGGGGGGGGGGGGGGGCGAGTTGCGAAAGCACCGAACGGGTCTTTCTCCTAGAGAGGCCCTCGGCCACTTCCGGGGTTCCCCCCCCCATCTGGGTTTCTTGTTGAGATTCGGAGGGGGGGGCTCTTTCCTGCTGAGCCAGGGAAGCGGGAGGCTGTGTCAAGAGGGCGCCCGCGGGTGCGCCCTTGTTTTCAGGCTGGGATGCAAAAGGGGAGAGGGCGCCCCAAAGGTGACCGTCGAGGAGGTGGCAGCTTGAGAAGGGGGTGGGTAAAGATGGACTCTCCATACCGCAGTTGAGAGTATAGAGTAGAGAATAGAAAATAGAATAGGGAATAGGGAATAGAATAGAGAAGAGAATAGGGAATAAAATAGAATAGGGAATAGAAAATAGAGTAGAGAATAGGG